CGAGGAAGAAGACAACATCGCTGAAGAAGAGAACAATCTCTTAGCAGTGCGCACGAAGCGCACTGCCAGACAAAACAAAGAGTCAGCAGAGAACTTCCTGCTGACTCAAGAGGCGGTAGTCCGTTTCGTTCTGACTCCATCGAAAATGCGGTGGACCTTCCGAAACGGAACGCAGACAAGAATGGAAGAGCAAATGTTCTTTCATTTAAGGTTAATGACTTAGTACTACTGTCTACGGTAAACCTACCTGGACACGCAGTCACTAGTTTCGGCAGTAGTAAACTACTGCCGAAGAACATTGAGCCATTTCGTGTGTAGCACCGCAAGGGCAATGCATACACGATCGAATTTCCACGTAGGATGCGCACGCATGCTACGTTTTACGTGGGGCGACTCAGACCGTACTGTCGGTACGAGCCTTCTTCTTCCGATGAAGATAGCCTCCACGTTCAAGATCATCCATCAAGTTCTTGCGTTCGCGCTCCAGACGATCCGTCTGGTCGCGCAGATAAGGTACCTCGGAACTCAACCGAGATATCTTCCCGCGAGCTGTCGCCAGCTCGCCGAATAGGGAGCGGACATCCCGCTCGACCTGAAGCTGCGCTGTGGCATAATCGGCGCGGTCTCTCGCCCGATCAGCCTCGTGATCCTTGCGGTTCTTCCGCACGGTATCAGTCAAAGCGTAGCGCCGGTCGCGCTCGTACTTCAAGTCGTCGCGCAATTCATCGATTGCGCGATCCGTCTCGTAAGGGTCGAGATGGTGAACCGAATCATCTGGAGGAGGTCTTTCCTCCTCCACCACATCCTTTAATGGATGGTCACGGTGGTCAACGCTTTCTGGTGGAGCGTATCTTGAATCCCCGTGACGATTCAGGATCAAGTACGAGCTACCTCGTCCAGTGGCGGGGGCATCCACCCTCTTGGAACAGCTGGGAGCCCCGCTCTCAGCTGTTGATGGATGTTGAAGGTCTCGTCCGCCAGTATGACGAGACCTATCCGATGAGTCCTCGGGCCCATCGGTAAACGCGCGTTTTGGCGCTTGTAGACGGATTGCAAGTTTTCAATCGCGTCACGCATCTCAGCCGAGATGTGTGCCCTTCCCCAGGGCGAATCTAGGGAATACACGTCCCTATGTGCACGTTGCGAGTTGTCAGCACAACTCGCACAAGGGTCTCCCCATGTGAGGCAAGGAATGTCTGCCTCACTCGACAAACAGTGCAACCGGTACCTAGCACCGGTTGGCGTTCGCCTTTCAAACCTGAGGCGTGTCGCCTCAAGTTTCTTGAGCCACCCTTCTCGTCCAAAATTCTTTACGTTTTGGACGAACGCGTTCCACGCAGCCAAAAGCGATGTTTTGTCACGCTTTTGGTTGCTATTGTACCATCGATGTCTAAGAAAGACATCGAGATAAAAATCTTCTTCAGCGCGAAGAACTTTCGCGCTGGAACTCAAGCCGTGAAGCTCAGTCGCATCGAATAAGGGTATTCGATGGTGTTGGCTTGTCTCGTGAGACAAGCTATTGATGAGCAGTTTGGGCAAACGCCACGGATTCGGCTCGTCACGCTTCACATTGGTATCTCTGTCGGTACCACGGCTCCCAGATTGACGACGGCTCACGACATCGTCATCACGTTCGTGCGAAGAGGCACGAGCCGGCGGTGGTAAGGAGTAGTATGCCTCACCGCCCTGATCATCGTCATCACTGCCGAACAGACTGTGATGCGAATCACGAGTCCGTTCGTTCGGCAGTGGCCTTGGCGAATACTGAGGCGTCGCCGGTGAGCGAGACGCCTCTGGAACATTGCCCGAGTCAGACACGTCTGACTCGCCAGAGTAGATGACCTCAATGTCGAGGTCATCATGCGCACGCGGTGTTGTACCGCGTGCACCTGCAGCACCTGTTGATGCAGGCGGAGAAGGAGCAGCAGACGACGAATCGCCTGCCGCAGAGGCTTGCACAGCACCAGGCTGTGTGGGTCTTGAGTCACCTCGCATAGACATGTTAACTATGCGAGGTCAAGCGGAAAGTGAATGGAACGGACCCAACAAGTGCTCCCTGTCCCAATGGTGGCCAACGGGTGGCCTCCATGTTTTCGATAGTCACACGGTGACTATCAGTTAAGGGGGGTGATGTAACGGGCAGCCCCGTTACATGAAATTGTCACTTTAAGGAAAGTGACAATAAAGAATATAAAGATGGATATTCTTTAAAACAATATCACCAAAGTGGTGATATTGAAGGGTCGACCAAAGGGTCTGTTCATTGGTTGATATCGTGATGATATCAACCCACCAATCGCCGCAAGACGCGCGCAATGAGTGGTGACGAGACGTCACCATACATGCAGTTATATTAGTATAATTGAATTAAGTCAAACGAAGAGACAGTAGTTTAAAGACTTAATTTATTAATATAACAGTTCTACTTTTACCCTACCTACGCTTCCTCGCTTGCCACGTGTACGTCCGTCGGGGCACCCAAATCCCTTGCGTTAAGTTACGCAAGGGTGTGCCCCGTTACACGAAGGGTCTACTCATTGGTTTATATCGTGATGATGTCAACCCACCAATCGCTGCTAGACGCGCGCAATGGGTGGTGAGTAGACGTCACTATACATGCATTTAGTTATATTCATATGATTAAGGTAGGACAAATCAGGGAACAAGAGATATTGGACTTATTTATACTAAATAATGGTGGTACTTTTCATACGATTATGGTCTTTTCCTTAGTCGTTTACCCGTCCTCTGTATAGTGCATATACCTAGCAAGGCACTGACCTTCACTGTTGTTAGTGAGAAAGGGAGATGTGATAGGTAAGGAAGGTGTGAACCTAGAACTGCCCTTCATTGATGGTCAATGGGGAATGCTCGATGAAAAGGTGACGGCTAACACATATATTCCGCTTTTTGTAACCTGTGCATTGTTACAATATCTGTTATCGCAACGAGACTGGTCGTGAAGTCCAATGTACAGCACGATTAGAGTATAAGCTTATGATTATGTAACTGGATAAGGCGCACTGGTCAATGATGTGTTGCTATCAAGAGAAGCGCTAACATAAGTTCGACGGACGAAGCTACAAGTGAGGAAGTTGTGCGTAATTTGATGAACGAACACTCGGCAGATACTTTTTGTATGGCCACAAGTTGCGTTGGTGAGGCGCACACGTCCTGCCAGGTGTGGCTCAGCGGGTCCTCTTTACATGGATAGATACGCATACCACACGGGTTCCCTGGACATGCTTGCACAATCGGCTAAGATGCACACGTCTACCAATGTCTGTCATACCATACATTACGACCATTTGTGGGATCTTAGGTAACACTTCACAGCCACGTCCTCTCCGCTAGCACAAACAGATTGCTCTATCGTGACATTGCTTCGAGCAAAACTTGTGGGAAGTACGTTGGTCTTTGATCGTGGCTCTGGTCTAGACGCGCCCGATCAGTCATGCGCGCAAACGCGTCCACACAAAGCAAACTGCAGCTGCACACGCACATAGTTAGGCGCTTGCTAAAGTTGGGCACCTCTTGCTCTGTGCTAAGGTAAATGACGATGTGGTTGCACATTGTGCACTTCTCTTTCAAGACACTGTAACTCAAGCTATGAGCAGTACCCAAGTGGTCGCTGATTCAGCGCGGCTAGCAACGCCTCTTCGCTTCCTCCTTGCATCATCCTTCTGCATGAGTGTGGAACTCGGGTGTTTCAACAACACATCTGTACGCGTCGTTACTTAGTACAACAGCACCTTCAGATCGAGGCGATAAGGACTATACAGCTACTTCATCGGAGGTCCGTCAAGCTTCACATCTTCTCGCGTTTTACCATCGAGAAAATTTTATGGTGCAACATAACGATGACATCACAAGATCAAGCGGCGACTTGGGCTCTAGGTAGGGTCGTTACCATCGACATCCGTTGTGTGTGATGGAGCCACAACATAAGGCCACTTACGATAGGGCATTGCATTTCGTAGGCGGTCCATTGATCGATCAGCTGTGGGTGACCCCGTCTGAGAACGCATTGCTTTGCGTCACGAAGTTGTGTCTGCGATGGAATACTCTCATAAGTGTTTGCATCTAGAACTGCATGTCATACACATGCTGGATGCTAAAAAGCTACAACAAAGCCGGTACTTCACCACAGCGAGTAGTTGGCCAAGAGATAAAAGCGTGCTCACCACAAGTAACAGCGCGATGTGAAGACGTGCACGGATCGCGACGTAAAGGTGCTTATCGTTACTACAAAGCCACGACATTTGCCGCGAAGAAGTTAAAGACGTGCCAATCAATGGCATCAGCAATTTGTCATCCAAATGTCCTAGCGCTTCCGATTGCGACCAAGGCGCCAATGGTTCTAATCATTGCGTTTGCGATGTCACGACGCATCGTCGACTCTACGACTGATTTAACAAAGAACAGTCTGTACAACTAACTTACATGATAATTACATTCCTCATTTTCGCTGGTCCATTTATTCGTGAGGCTGCATGCGATCGACGATCGAAGCTCAATTCTAAGCATCAAAGACCTTTACACTTGTGCCAAAGTCCGTCTTGCCGAAAACATATCGGCAACTGCAGTGCTGGATTTGACGGGTGATGCTTACAGCTCCACTACTTTGTGGTGCAGCATTATTGATTCAGCGAAACACACGGCAGCCGTTACCACCAGAGGCAGCAACACGGGAGGTTTGGCCTTGTGCTTGTCAACTTGCCGACGAAACGAGTTGTGTCATCCTCAAAAGCCGTGGGTGGCTCGACCTGGCGCTCAGACGATGCAAATGCACCAATGTGCGCACACGCTCTGCACCAATGCTCATTCGAGTGCAGAGACGCTCCTGAACCTCTTCGAGATGCCCTTGTCTTGGGCTGCGGATACAGACCACGCTGGACATTGACCCCAACCAACGCGAAAGAGCCAACACCGTCACTCAAAACTGAAGCCACTCTCATTGATCACACCATCGAGTGCGCCTGTACCAGCGAACCCTAGCTTCAGTAGCCTCCAGCCGCTTGACGTAGCTTGTCGATCCAAATGTCACGCTCTTGTATGTTTTGAGCACGAAGCTTAAAAATGCGACCCGTATCGGCTGCCGACGAGCGTTTCTTGCTATTCTTCTCGAACAGGCCCCGTTGCAATGCAAACACGTGCGCGGCTTTGCCTGGAGTGATATCAAGTCCTTCGCCCGCATCACGAGATGGGTCGATGCGGCAACTACAATCGAAGGTAATAAATGTCAACAAATTGTACTACCGCAACGCTCGCTTGAAGCAGTATCAACGCACCCGGTCAAGCTCAGTTCCTTGATGACTTTTCCCCGCTCGTAATCATCCTTCGTCTTCGCGTAGATCAAGTTTGCACCGATGAGAATAAAGTATCGTCGCTTCCAGTTCTTTCGGCCTAGGAGGTTGAGTACGTTTCCACCACCACCTTGCTTGATCAAGTAGCCTTGCAGCTCTGTCACTTCCTCTTTTTTATCCTGGGCGGCTTCGATGACTTTTTGTTCAGGAAGTTGGACCTGCATTCAAACGCTGGTTATTGCGACCTTCCTACGACAACCTCCAAACAAGTCTACCAACCGAAACGAAAGCAGCTTCTTCCAGCAGATCTTTTTGCTCAGTGGCCATCGCATGCATCTTGGTCAGGTCGTTAATGGCTTGAACGAGCGCCTCTTTCCGCAACTGCGTTGTAAGACGAAGCCACAACTCAGCTTTGTACAGTGCACACACACATTGCTTCATCACATACCGCATGGAGCTCGGCGCCTTCAACCAGCTGTCTATTGACGTCCTTTTGCGTATCCGTTGTCAATTCCTGGTACAATCTCTGCTGATTGTTTAGCTCCTTGATTTCTTGCTCTTTCGTTGCAATGTCCGCCTGAACCTCATCTACATCATGCCGGCGAACTTTTTCCAGTGTGTCTGACAGCTCTGCGAGCTGTGGTCGAATGACGTTGTGCATGAACTTTGCGAGCTCTTGTTTCTGGAATAAGCATATGCATGAGTGTGTCTGCGCCGAACAGTCTAGCATCACCAGTACAAACTTACCTTGACTGGGCCTTTCGCTTGATCCGTATACTCGATCATCAGTTTGAACAAATTTGCTTGATAGCGGTGATAAAATCTCTGCAAACAGTGATGAGCATAGCGGCATACATTAGCTCCACGCCACGCTATGATATCATAGTATCTCCTTACCTTAAAATCGGCCGACTGACAAGAGTACGAGTCTCGGTCATTTTGAGGGCTCAACGCGAATCGCAAATCGATTTGTTCACTCATCGTCGTGTGGAGTGCAGCGAGCGTTGCTTGGCACACCTCCGATGAAATGCGGTCATTTTCGTCCCAAATTGTGCCTAATACAGACTCCACCGAGTCACGGAATAATTTCTGCGCGAGGTCATCACATGGTGTGTCAGATGTGATCTAAATTACGACCAACGCATAAGCACAGGCTGCGTGGCAATACCTTGAACAACACCTTCTGCTTTTCGGACTGGACAGGTATCGTGCGAAGAGTTGCCTTTGCTTTACGTTTTGCAACATCATGCGCATCGAGAAGAACTTGGTGCTCACATGGTAGCTACAGAGCACATATAAGAAGAGGTGAGCGAGATGCAGTGCCCGTATAAACAGAGCCATCAAAGCCTCGTTTGCTCCAACCTCGACTACTGCTGGCTTTTCTGGAGAAGAAGCCAGCGTCGACTGTAGAGGTTCTACGTCTGCTATATCGACGATGCTGCCGAGTCGTTCGGACATCCAAAACTTGTAAAGCTTGACCCCGTTCTCGACAACATTATGGCAGCAGCTGAAGATCGTGTCTTTCCAGACTTGTCCCCGAAACACCTATAACAATACATGCATAGACGCTTATTGACATTCGCGACAATTTGTTGTTCGCATCAAACAATGCATACCGTTGAGATGTTGTCGCGACGAGCTAGCATTGACGCCATGAGTACACCAATGAGCGGGCCATTTAGCACAATGCTGTCGAGATAGCGATTGTGCACCGACTGTGTGAAGACTCGCGACAGTTTCTCCACTCGCTTCTGAAACGCCTCTGATTCTCGTGGAGGAACAGCGAAACATCCCTGATCAGGAAACACTTTCCCGAGAAGTCTGACGAATCCTACACCTGGCGAATCCTCCGGCAAAGCGGCCAATGCATTGCACAAATATGCCTCTTCAGTTTCCTGCAACGACAGTCCACTCTCCTGCACATGCTGCTTCAGCTCGCTCGTCGAAACATTTTGCAGCACCCAAAGCAGTTTTGGAGACTGAGGAAAATCTACAATGAGTATAAAAGCGGAAACGAGTAAGCTCAATTGACCGTCACAATACTCTTCGTTGTGTCTCTCAGTACCGTAGTCAGATGGTAGCGGTGCGTCGCTTTGACCTTGCTTAGCACCAAAGATCGCAAACTGATCCAGCGTCGTAGCAGATAAATGGCCATCCACATGGTGGACCACCGCACTGCTCAAGCTTGCAAAGATCAAGTACAACAACCTATCGAGTGGCTGCTCGAAAACAGAATCATCAGCAACGAAGCGTCATTTTTTTCTGCATAACTGTAGAATGAAACTCTTGTCACGTGCTGTTGCCTCAGCTCTTACCGACTCTCGGAATCCCGGTCGGTCCACGATTGCCAAGTAGGTGGCATTCTGGAAATTGACTCGTGTCACATAGAGCCACACGCCTCTGCAATACGCGAATCAGATCAATATCAAATGGACAAGTACACAAGTGAGTCATCAACTGGTTCAGGTACCACTGTTTATAAATGGGTATGTGACAATACAAAAATAGGCGTGTAACAATTCAAAAATAGGTATATGACAATACTCAGTTGCAGTATCGTCGTCGTGGAGGTCGAAGAGACGGCGGACAAGCGACGTCTTGCCGCTGTGCGCTGGTCCATGGATACTCACAACCAGTACAGGTTCGACCAGGCGCTGTAGGAACGAGACGGCTTCGTGCTGAACCTGAGCGTCGTCGGTAGTCAATGCCAGCAATCGGCCCGAATAGAGCAGCTCGTGCATTTTGCAGTCGAAATTGTGACGAATATGCAGCACAATGCGACGATATGTCGTGGAAAAGATCACAAAAAACGGGCTAGTAAAACGACCCCCAAACACTCCTCAAGTTTAGACAAGCGCTCACAAAACGGACAATTTTTTGCGCATAGTGACGATCAAAATGCTGTTCAATGACACAAAGACAAAATCGTCCTATCTTTTTCACTCGCCTGATAAGCATCGGGTGCGAGTATTAGACCACGCGCTGCTATCACCCAAGTGCAGGCAAGAAGTTGCTGGAAATGATGCAATTCAATTGCGAGCCACACGAAGCTTGTACGCACTGCTTAAGGTATACATTATGTACGGAGTACTGCACTACATCAGTAAACTCTCTCTTAGCCGAACCTGATCTTTGTGTCCATCTACCTCTGGATTATTAGGCATGCCACCGAGATTGACTTTCGTATCAGCATTTTTGATGTTGCTTTCTATACTGATATAAGTCTTTTACGAGAATGCCCCGATCGCGAACAAGGTGGTGGGTATTTCCAGTGGCCAACTACGTACCTTTTGGTCGCACGTGCAAATGCTCCAGCTAAAGTGTTTGAAGGCACATGTGAAGCTTCTACCGACATTGTGTTATGTATTGCACAGATTTTTCATGCACGTTTACTTACTAGGTGCGTTACATCACTGTGGTCAAAAAATGCGGCCGTCAGTGACGTCATAGCAGCGAACAGTCATACGTACTCGAGCTCATCAATTGTCGCGTGCAACAATCTGCACCATCTGCAACTGCCCACATTAGTTTTTGAACTAGAATAGCTTAGGTTGGAAGATGTCGCAGTCCACGAGTGACACCCTACCTGGCTGGCCGCACTTCGTAGCTCAAGTTCACATTTCACCACCATGTTCATCTTGTACCTAAATGACTGTCACTGTTGACATAAGATGTAGTGCAGCACGTCACGTCTAGACTATCGCGAGATTTGGCCAATACAGCGACACCTTAACTAAGTGCAGGAATCTGTTGATTAGACACGACAACAATTTAGAGGGGATAAACTGACCGGTAAGTACGTTTGTCAGTTTGTTATTGATAGTTTAATGCAGATATTTTCAACCAGAATCCTAGTAGAAAAAATGACTTGCTAATAGTCTGCGCTTAGTTGCGGTTTTCCGTCCGGCAAAGTTTCTCCGGGTAGCCCGTAGGATGTGTAGATGGAGTAAAACATACACGAACGCATCCTTCTCTGTAGTTAACTTGAAGACTTTTCTAAACGGTAAATAATATTTCTGAACCTTCCCCCCTAAAACAAATGTAAAGTCGTATTATTGTGTTTCTCCCGGGTCTACAAGTGACAACCTATCGATATGTCCTCTCATCACTGTAGCGATACAATATGTCGTAAAGGTATGAGAAGTAAAGTTCGTATGTTAACCATTGATTCACCTCGCAAGTACGTAAGTTTTATGAGTCCAATTGATACAGGCGTGCTTAGGAACTGTGTGAGTGAATGTGCGATAATGGATACAACGACCACGAGTACTATTTTCTGTCGCATCTTGGAGCTTTAAAAGTACACGCAGTTGGAGATTGTTATGAGTGACATTTAATGCAATGATTCTATTCGTGATGGCTCCCTAGTACAACAATACGTTGTACTGTACATTTTAGTCGGTAGACGATATATAGTCGGCAAACTCTTTATTACTTACATAGAATTGCTCAATGATATTATTATAGACCCATCAAATTATATATTTATGTCTGAAAAAATTAAGCTTGTCGGATGTCGCCAAGTAGACTCAACGACGGAGAGGTTTACCATAAAGTGTTAACAAATCGTTTTCACGCGCTTCTGTGGTACTGGTCGGCTCATTATCCATGAGGCGGAAAAGCGCATCTACGTCAGGACGTTAAGTAGTATCGTTCTACATCCACAGACACAGTAATCTCGCGTAAATGTGCCAAGTTATTTTCCTACGTACGAAAGTTGCGGGACTGGTCGAGGCCATCCTCACTGATGGATGGCCTGTATGAATGTAATTGATTCTATTTTGTATCAGATGATAGCGACACTTTAAACAGCGCATAATTAAGCTAATGGTTATTGTATTGCACGAAATAGTTGCGCTTAGCTGCCTACATATGATACGACCAATAACAGACTTCGCGCGTCACGCCGTCGGTGTCTTATGGCGCACGTGCACCATTAATTGATTCAACTCTATCTTTGACCGACACAAGACTGATGTACATGATAAGCAATTTATAGCACTATCGGTTTTACTATTCATTAGTTTAGAGACGCTTATAATGGGCGTTCAAGAATCATTTCACGTATAGCGTCGACAATAATGCACGGTAATTATGGCGTAACTGCGCGAGTATATATGCATGGAAACGCTTAAATATTTGTATCCATTATTTCCTATGAAACGATATCATTGCTCCGTGGTCAATATGATTGTGTACAAATAAGAGCGCACGATCTGTATCCCAACGATGCAATGAAGAAGTGCTGCAAATATGCACTTTTTCAGGTCAGCGTACAGCTTGTGCTTGCCAAGAGGTACACATACCTGTTTGAAGTGGTGCACTATATTGTTTGCGTCTCGGTTTCAATCTTTAGACTGGCTATGGACACATTGATATATGTGACAAAGCTTGACTCAACATATTTTTGATAATGCAACGAACTTAACAGACGTGATAAACGTATGTAAGATTTGGTGAGGACCTTAGATGTCCCTTTGGATTTACAAGATGACCTCATAGGATAAAACAGGAAGTGATCGACTTCTACATCATTATTATCCGTTTAAGCTTGAGGGACTGATAGAATCCTTGTATCATATCCATGAAAGAAAACGATGGCTTTCTTAGAAAAATCATCGTAAGACCCTCCTTATTTCTATCGGCGCCCAAGCCGGAGCCGGTGCAAAGTCTACTCTCCTGAGATCATGCCGACTCCGCTGCAAAACTTATTAATCAATGCGTCCACTGTCTTTTCTTTTTTGCGGCCTTACTCACAAAGGAGGTCAGGAGTCATGTGGGAGTTAACACACTAGAATTGCCCGATGCTAAGCGATCGGTAGAAAACTTGCAAACGATACTGCTCCTTTTTGAAAGAGTCAGTGAGCACTGCTTCATGACACTGCATTTTGTAGCCCTTATTCGGTCAATCGCGTAGAAAGTGTCCTTGTTTTGGGCAGCTCGCACGGCACAAAATGAAGAATACAGCCTACGATTCGTTTGTAGTTTTACAAGTTAATCGCTTTGAGTAATCATTAAGATTGAGACGTGCAATTATCAACGTGAGTATATTTATCGACGTCACTTTCGTATACCGATGAGCTGGAAACGTGTTCGTGCTCATCATAATAATTGCCGACCGAGTATCCGTAACGTGCTTGTCCTCTGCACCGGATTAAACTGTTCGAAAATCCAACTTCGCAGATCTCGCAAGAATCGTTTAACTTTAAGCGTTGGCGAGCAAGTTATCTCCCATTCAACTTATTAGGTACTAGTCCATCATGCTGTTAAGCGCCTAAGCTTTCTTCGTTTTGCGCCAAGACGTACAACGTCTTGTTATCTACCTAAAAACTTCATTTTTTGGACCCTTGAATTCTGCCTCGTCTATCTGACATTAACTTTCAACTTGTAATTTACTCTGGAGATCAGAATCTGTTTTCACTCCATCAGAAATGAGACTCGTTCGATATCAGCTGTATATACATGTTTGCTGAAAAACAAATCTTACTTTTCGCTATCGCATGAAGTCGGACATTTTTTGCATGTACGGGATTGCCAAACGCTTGTACTGACACAGCATAAACTACCGACGCTGACAGAGTACCAGATATCCACGCTGAACAAAATGTAAGCAGGTACTTCAAAACGTCACGTACACGTATGTGCAAAGGTAGGTAAATTTCTAAACAAACACGCTTAGTAGAGGTTAAAGGTTTGCTGGATGTAATTTATACGTGAATGTTTTCTAAAAACACCTGAAGGGCTTACCTAAATCTATTAAACTACAAACTTTACATGTAGCAACTGGGCACTATATTCATTGCGCGCGTCTCGCAGCGACAGGTGATTCTGTTGCTCTGTACAATTCCTTTGTCAACAAATAAATGGAGTAGTGCTGAATATTATCTTTGAGGATAATGCTCCCTCAATGTTTACTTAGTATTTAACTCATTCAAGAATATCATCAATTAATGTGATATTTGCATTAACTCAATTTTTGGTGTCAATGACACGAAACGGACTCACCCCGTTTCATAGCACGCATACGTCTTGCATCGTATTGCTGCTTCCCTTTGTTGTTTGCTGTGCTTACATCGAGCAGGTAAACGGGGAAGTGCGTAGTATGAAACAAAAAACGAACGACTGTTTTTGTCCTTGTTGTATTCCAGCCTTTCGAGCCGGTCTTTCGGTGTGGGTTGTACCTTGATCGCTCGGCCCTTACCATATTGCAGCTGCACAAGTCGTCTGTAAACAGCCGGTACCACGACCCTTGTCACAGGTGCGGTGTCCAAGATATTCACAGGTTAGCATTTGACGGCATTAACGCAATCATGCCATTGCTTCTTGCGTCAAAGAATTTGCTTTGCGAGGCGGTCCTATACAGCAAAGAGTCGCTCACGTACATGCTACAACTATTGCAAAGGTTGTGCTGAGCTTTGAGACTACCTATATATGTCCGTCAAGCAGACAAGATAGGGGACGTAAGTATCTGTGAGGTTCGCCGTCAAACATGTTTGTCATAGCGGCAACGAAGGATAAAGATTTTGGGCTATTGTGGAAAATTCTTGGGGATGGCAATCCAAAGCGGAAGGTCGGAAAGAAAAGTGGTGCGTCGAAGACTGAGTGCATCTTACTGTGGACACATCACGATCATTCTTATCACGACAAACGACGTTTCATAGACGGCGATCTCTTAAGAAGAGCTGCCTTTGGGGGTCTCAACCAAAAGAGTCATGTGGACATGCGGACGAACTACACTCGGGAGGGCGTTGTTGGTCGGACTAATACCTCGATTGAACCTCGAGCGAGTATATTGTGCTGCTGCTCGTAGCTACTGAGAGATTCAGCGAGTGCTACTTCTCGAAGTTGGTCAGTAGCTGGCGCAAACTATGAAGACTGACGGTTTAAGGTGCAGTGTCTACGTTGTGCATGCATGCGGTTATTTTTGTTGTTTGCATATATTTAGTATACAATGAAATCGTCCTATCGATTCGTACAGCTCTTATGGTGTAATGGTTAGCACTCTGGACTTTGAATCCAGCGATCCGGGTTCAAATCCCGGTAGGAGCTCTTTTGTCTGCCGCCTCGGCGTCTAAAGTCTGTTAAGTGCGAAATGAAGCACAACCGACTCGATAGCGGAAGCGTTTGCGCGACGTGCGTTTCGCACTGTCTGTCTAAAAGGCGTTATTGGGAACCTTACAAGGTGTGGTTACACCCAACGTGACCTTCGTGCCGAAGTGGTGCTGTGGACGGGTAGCAAGTATATGCACTTGGAAAGCACCGATGAGGTCATCGTCAAACACTGAGTAAGTTTTGTTTAGAGCGGTCTACAGGCCGTGGACCCTGAGCAGCTGTTGTAGAAAACTCATTCAGCAAATGTCGACGTGCAGTACTTGATGTATCACGTGTTCATAGCTGTTGATGTACCGGTCCGGTCGATGCAATAGCGAATGCGAACGCCATGCAACACAAGAGAAAGCAACCGCGCAGGTCGAATGCGTCGTGCCATTGACCCCTCTCTCTCGTCTTCTCTGTAAACGCGACATCGTACAACTTCCGATCAACTCCATCCACGAGCAGCCACGCGACATCCGCCTTCGCACCGATCTTTCCAGTTGGGGAAAACAAGCACGCGGGCACGACGTGTGCACTTGACGCTCTTATGCCGCCAGCAATGCGGGCGCTGCACTGGCGCAGCCACCTAATAATCTCGACACTCCCGATAAATACCACCAGCACGTCGAATAAAGTATTACTCACATGTAAGACCGCCGACGCGTACACCTGTCATCCAGTCGACGAGGTGACGTACGCCCCGCTTGAGCTGCTGATTGCAAAAGGCAACTAGCAACTGCAAGCAAGAACGCAGTCAACCCCGCGCCAGCTCAAGTCAGCCAGAGGGCCGACAAGGCATCAGTTCCACACGCAAGTTGGTCCCATCATCGACTCCATTCGTCAGTGTGTGCAGGAGGCAGACACGAGCAAAATGGAGTCGAACGTCCGCGCTGAAACATGTTTAGTTCGACTGCAAGTCCATGATCACTTTCTGCGTCCACGCTGCCAACTGCTGCGCCTGCGGGTTCTGCGCGTTGTTTGCACACTCACTCACGAGCTGTACCGCAAACTGCTGGTGGAGCACCGTCTCCACTGCCTTGCCCAGCGCTTGGCCCATGTCGCTTTACGTTCACAACCACACGCACACATTACCATCCATCAGATATCACCATCAGCATCACGCACTCAAAATCGTTCACGTACCCAATTAGTCCCACCGCCCCCGTTGTCACAGCGTCCGAACGCGTTGCAAGGTCGTTCGACAGCGTGGCCAGGAAAGCTCCAATCTGTGGCGCGCACTCCACTAGCACAGTCGCCTTGTTGGCAGCTCCCAGGCCTTGCACAATACCTGTCAGCGCCTCTAGCACACTTTCGCGCAGCTGGTTCATATACTCCACCACTTCCTCGTCGTCCGTCGCAACAGATCCGCACGCGTCTGCGGCCTGTAGAATCATCTGAAGCGAAGACGCCGTATAGCGCTCATAATCGCCTTCAACAGCGAGCGCAATGTCGCCAAAGCAAGATAGGACTGGTGGCTTCACCGAGCGGTCGAGCAAGGGGTTGTTCAGAACCTCGACCAGAGCAGCCACAATCTCGTCACACATCGGCAGGATCTTGCTCTCTAGAGCACGACACAAGTCACCCACGACACCCACCGCGACACTGCAAACCATATACTCCTCGCTGTTCTTCAAGCCCATCAGCAACACTGGGCCAAAGTACTGCATGTACACTTCAAACTTGGGACCAACGACATTGGCCAGAGCTCCTGCGGCCATAAAAGCTTCTTCTGCAGCAGCAGCATTCCGCGTGGAGAACACTTGTAGAAGCGCCTGCATGATGCGGTCTGCCAACGGCTCGATATCGGTATTCAGCTTCTGGATGGCAGCAATCAAAACGCTGCACAACAATGCCTGCAGACCGGTTTGGTCGTCCTGAAGGCGCTCTGGGTTCTCGACCACCGTCTTGATGCTTTGTTCCAGGCGGTCCAGCACCACGGGGAGACGCAACACGATGTGCTGGTTTACCTCATCAGCGCCAGCCTGCACCAACACATTCAAGGCCTCGTACGCTGACCCGCGCAAGTTGCTCTCCATAGCGTCTGGTCGATGACTGGTTTCGAGCAGCTTGTCAAACAGTGTACTGAAGTACGGGGTCAGCATATGCGCAGCTTCCACCGACTCCTCGAAGGCTTTTACGATATTGTGGATGGCGTAACAAACGTTGTGCGACACACGCGGTTCCTGGTCCAACCCTTCAAGCAGGAGCTGCATCAGTCCAGGCAACATCTCGCCACTGATGCATCGGTAGTGCAGCTCGCAAATACGGCCGAGCGTCCAGGCCGTTGTGTCGCGAACCAAGATGTTGTCAGACTTCATGCAGCTCATCAGGAAGCCAAACGCCTGACGCACAAGCGGAGCAATCTTGGCCGAGTCGGGGCCGTCCAAAATCGAGCCAAACGCCATGATAGCGGCCTCTTTCGACCGCCATTCGTTGCTCTCAATGTTTCGCGTTATGAACGTCATGGTGAGGTCTACACAGGCATCACCAACCACCTGAGCCACCAGAGCAAGGCACGTTGCGGCAGCCATCGAGAGATTCCACGAGTCTTCGTCCTGGTCATCCTCCTGTTTCTTGAGCGTTTCCGTGAGCAGTGGGATGAGCGTACTCAACACCGTCTGCACGTAATAGTTGCAGGGAACGAAATCAGTGCGGCCCTCGAGCTCTGCGTAGTTCATTTCCTCAATCAGGTCGAGCTCCACATCGCACATAGACGACCAAAATTCAAGCGACTGCAGGCCCACTTCGTCCTGGTCGCTTGTAATGGCGTTGAACGTCAGCTTGCACAGTGTCTCCATGTACTCTGCGAGGTATTCGTAGTACATTGTTGCAATAGCAGCGATGCACTCGCACGCTACCACTCGGGTCCGCAGATCCGAAGACTGTGTTGCTTCGCAGATCTTTTGCATCAGGTGATCGCGCTCTTGTTTGCGCTTGAAGTTCTCACTCACAAACTCGAGACTGTTCCGCAAGGCTGTCACGGCCGCAAGGCGAATAGCCGGTGGCCGGTTAGCACGAATGCCATCCACAATGGCCGTCAAGATACGATTGGTATCCTGCTCGTCAATGGTGTTCTCTTCCAGCTCGTCGCCCAGGTAGCCGAGACACTCGAGCGTAGCGTGGATGCAGCCTTCGCTGCTGCTGGTCACGTTCTGCAGCAGCGACTCGAGCAGCGTCGGCCACTGCTTGGCAGGCAGCTCAATGCTGCCAATCTTGGCCACCAACTGGGCGCTCGTGTGACGCGCCACGGCGTTGCTCGACTGCAGTACACTGAGCGCGCCGTCCTTGATCAGCGTGCGCAGCGTCGGGTCAATGGCCATCCACGCGTTGATCTTCTGCTGCTGCAGCGCGCTGTCTTTGGCGTCCAGCACGTTCTTGAGGTAGAGACCAGCGGCCTGGCGGCCCACCACGGCAAAGTCTTCGGCCGCCAGCGCCTGGACGAGCGTCACCATGAGCTGTCCCATCTGCTGCTGCAGTGCATTGTGCAAAAACTCTTCGGCCTGTTGCCGCAGCGCGACGTCTGATTGCACACACAGTCAAAGACAATGGGTACAGATAGTCAGTTAGTGCGAGAGAGAGAGAGAGAGAGAGAGAGAGGCACACAACACAGCACGGTACGAGAGGACACTGCAGAGGGGCAGTGGCTGCAGGTGGCTACAGTCGGTGCGTACCGGGGCTTTGGGTGTTGATCAAGGCAGAGGAGACGTCCATGTTGAGAGGACCGAGTGGGAGGGCGGAATGGAATGGAGTGGCGCGCGCGCGTTGCGAGAAGACGGTTAGAGAGCGCTAATTGGCTGGCGTCGACGCTACCGGGTTGGCGTGTGGCGGTTTTGGGCCGGAGGTGGGTTTGGGGTGCTCGACGATCGCGATGCGGTAAGATGTCGAAAGTTTCGAGAGGTGAGAGAGGAATTGTTGACAAGACCAAACGTGTCGACTTGAAGGACAGCGCGATGTTTTAACATCTTTACTTGTGATGAGGCTCTCGGTTTTACCGTCATGCGTGGAGACGGATACGACAGCCAATTGTGTGGCCTCCATATCCCCTCGCATGTTATATTGCTGTCTGAAGGCCTGCATTTTCACAAACGCACTGGTTGTACAACAGTGTTTTACAGCTCTGTTTTTGTTTGAGCCTCCGCTCTTTCCATGACCCAAACTGCTGAAACTAATGGGCTCATGATATAAAGTATGTCCAACGATTTAAACAAAAAAAGCGCTTTAGTCGCAATTTGATAAAAATCAAATGGCAGCCTGCGTTTATCCTTTGCAGATATCCTGCCATGAAACGTAGCCGCGCACCGGACCAAGAAATGCGCTTATCGCATGATGATCCCAATCCGTATTTGCTCACCTGCTAGACGCAGACGCTCAAAGCAAACATTGAACCCATTTGCTCTCTTGCCTTGCCCGCGACTTGACCAAGATGCAGACATATCGTTCACATACTCGTATCGGGCGCTGACTAGCTTATAATGACCAACTGCGGTGTCTTATTGGAAACCCATTCGCAGACTCTCTTGCGACGTTTATACCCGATGACGAGTCGACATGGCTTATCGTCCACCTCAAACACCATCTGGTGCTGGCTACCACAAACGTGGCGCGATAAGATCAAAGAGATGCAGAAGAGGTACGTTGTCGCTGGTCAGCTCAACCTGTCTTGACAAGTCCTCACATAGCTGGTTTCGATTGTCCGCCGAGGTGTCTGCAATTTCAGGATAATCCAACATCACAGCTTCAGCTGGTGCTGGCCAGCCGCATTCACTCTACTTGTCGCGCGTAGCGTTGACTCCCTTATCATTGTTCTGGCATATACCGCTTCGCCATCCTGAACAATAATGCACCTTCCTGTTCTTGGACTCGCAAGTGTCAACGCTATCCAAACGACTGAAAGCCGAACCAATGCCATAAATGCGTAGTTTAACGCCGTGAATGCACATAGACAGTCGCTTCTCGTTTGCTATGGTATCGTCTGTCAGACTCAACATGACATTAACCACCACGTGGAGGAATGTGTCTTTGTCCGGCTGAGGGTAGGAACAACGCGTTGCGTAGATTGGGCGCTACCACGTCTTGAAGCTCATCAGTCGGTAACCACTAACGCCGGCAGTGCAATATTCATTCCAGATCGAGCACGGTAAGCCAAACGACGCGGTGAGCACGTTGCGGATGGAAAGCGCACAATATACGTTGGTAAATCTGTCCAGGACCGTGTGCAGTCACTTTCCTTCCAGCACATGACAGCTTCGTGGCCCTTACTTCCACGGCTGTGATCAAACGGGCGTCGGTGTCGGTAAAAGATGCGTCAGCGTAATCTTGGGTGTACGGGGCACTTTCAAGTAAGGCTCGGTCCGACATGTTCGTCACTTGTGTTTCGGCAACAATCATTTGCATGTAAATCTGCACAGAGCTTTCTCGTTGTTGTGCCACTTATACACCGTATCCGTCTGCGTGCTGGATCCCAAGACAACGCGGCGTCACCACAATCGCATACGCGGTAGTCTTCTCCGTTTCGTGTTCTACTAAACTAAATACATGTTACAGCAGTACATATTGCTCTGCATGCCCCAGCCATCGTAAACTGTGCGCCAACAACGTAGTTGTTGTGTTGAAGTTGGCACAGGGACTTCCAACCACTTCGTGTCACTCCCACTGAGAATCAAGCGAGTAATCGGGCGGATGATCACATACCTTCGCATTTACACGGTCGGCCCATCGAGTGCTGAAGGTGACTCTCTATCAGCGCTGCAACGAGCCTCGAGCATTGCAGGATCATCCACACAATCTTCATCGCCAGCTGTGAACGCACGCGGACGTCTTCTGGGAGCGCTGAGCAACCAGCCCTGGCGACTGTCTTCAAACACGAGGAAAAAAGCGAGCAGCAATACGAACACTGACATACCCAAGAGCATGAGCATGACATTGCGGTAGCTGCCCGTTTCGTCGCGCAAGTATCCGACCAAAAGATTGCCAAATGTAGCGCCAACAGCGTCGGTGATCTCAACGATGCCAAAGGCCGTGCCAAAACTCTTGCAGCTCACGGAACTGGGGATCGCGGCCATCAAGATAGTTGGTGTGAACGACAGGCAGATGGAAATCAGTAGCATCGACACAACCGGGGCGATGTCTGTAAAGATCATGAACACGTAAGCCATGATCGACATCATGGCAGCCAAGATGATCAGCAGACTGCGTCCGCCAAACTGGTCAACGGCAAGGCCGATGAAAGGCGCAAACACCACAAACAAATGAGAAAAGCTGCTCACGATACCAGCTTCCACGATGGAGTAGTCATAGCGCTGGAAGAGGTAGCTCGCACTCACGTTCTGGAACAAATGAAAGACGTTGATGAAGCTCACGTGCAGCAGGGCAATGATCCAGAACATGCGCGAGAAGTCGTGTACGCTGTCGCACGAGATGCGCTTTGTGTGCGCGTGCGACTTGCGGCAACGGTGTTCGTGTCGCTCCTTCTCGGCGTAGTCGTTCAGCCACTGGAAGCCTGGGTCTAGAGCCTCCTCGCTGATCACGCGGGTCTTCACAATGCGCTTCAGGTTCAGTGTGTGGTGGCATACCAAGACACCGACAAGGGCCGAGGCTACACAGACAGCCACTCCGTACCACAAAGCTTGCACATATCCCCCAAAGTAGAGAGCAATGGGGGCAACCGTAGCTTTTGCCAGCATCTTGGAGACATTCGTGATTGCTACGCTGACGCCCATGGCAAAAGTGAGCTCCTTGTTGCGGAACCACGAGGCAATAAAGACTCGAGCGCCAACGACGACACTTCCTTCGCCGACGCCGAAAAAGACGCGCCCAAAGAGCGCGAGCCAGTAGAGCTTGAGCTGCATGCCAACGGCAAAGATCGCCTGACCCACGCAGATCCAGGCGAGAAAAAAGCGGATGCTGTGGTGGCCGCTCTTGTCCAAGAGGCGGCCGCCCAGTAAGGGCAGGAACATGCTCGGCACCGAGACAGCCGACAGGAGCGCGCCGTACATGACGTTCGTGATGGGAAAAGCCGCGTCGTCCAACATGAGCTGCTCGAGCGACGACATGCCGTTCTGTGCATCGCAGCGATGTCATACAACAAAAGACAAGCGAATCAGAAGCAGAACAGTCGTCCTCCATCGACTCGAATCAGCCACTGACTCAGCCACTGACTCAGGTGCCAAAGCAGTTGCTTCGATCCGCACGTACTTTGACAAAGTGGCCGCCAAAGGGGATGCAGCTCATGAGGATCAGCAGGTAAAAGCGATGGCACGCAGACGTCGAGCGCCAGCACTGCCACGCTGGGGCCCGACGCAACGGCGCGGGAGGTCGAAGGCCGCTGCAGCCGCGTGCGCCGTTCGCTGCGGGGGTGTGGACCAGCGGCGTGCGTTCGGTCGCCTGTTGCGTGGGCGCCATCGCTCACCGCGCGAGAGACTGAGCAGTTGACGCGAAAAGCGATTCTGCGGTCAGTCAGTCGGTCGGTCGGTCGGTCGGTCGACTGGCACTACCAGTGGGGACAAAGCGCGTGTGGGCCAGGGCGTGCGGTGGCCCATAATGCCGACCTGTGGGGTGGCCTGGACGACTGGAGTGCGCCGCTGGGCGTGCAGCGGTCGGATCGAGTTGAACGGGTGATGGAGTTGCAGAGGGAGTGAGAGATCGTGGGTAGGTGGTTACTCGAAATCAGAGACGATCAGGTCTCGAGGTACACCATTGTCGGCGCGAAAGATCCGCGTTGTGTCGTACCGCCACGCGCAACGCCCCAATCAGATGGCGTGTGCACGACCCCACCCGGTTTTTGCACAGGTCAGTGTCCCAAATCTGTTGGCACAAACGAATACGGATCCAAACCCGCAGGTGCGTCGGGCGGCCCAGCCGTCCTCTCTCTTGTGGCACAGTGCGTACTTGAGCGCTTTTGTCACGAGCGATAACGCCACTAGAGCAGTACATTCCGCTCATTTGTTGGATCCGCTGGACAGCCACAGCTTTTGTTCGATCGAAGTCATTGACGTCGATGCAATCGTCAGGGCTGCTACCGATCGTTCTTGAAGTGGACAACAACATACGTCGAGCGCTGCGAGCGGCTCGAGCATATATACAGGTGATACACAGTACCTCCGCGAGAGTCGAGCAATAACTGAACAAGTGTCCCGCATGTACGTGATACAGGCGATGTAGATAGACGCACAGTCACACGCAGGAGCTGATATTGCGTTGGTAGAGGAAGTTGCACTTTATAGGCGTTGGCGACTTGCTGAACGTCAAATGTGGCAAGTCTGAGTCACGGTACTTCATACCGCAGGCAATGGGTGACGAAAGCGATTTCAGGACTTTTCAACTGTCTGCATCCGACATACTACTTTTTATCGTCATCACTCACCGATCAGGAGTCTTGCTCTTGCTCTCGTGACATAATGGCACATAGCAATGAAGTCCACGCAATCGCAGGTACTGTGGAAGAAGCCGTACCACCATTGCGAAGAACCTACGTGGAGGAGAGCAATCAAGATATGAAACTCGTTACTCAATATGTTCACTGACGCCTAGACTGACGCCTAGACTGATGAGACGTGATTGTCGTGAAAGACACCACTTTATGTGTGTTTCATGTTTGTTGCTACCAACGCAACGCTCCACGGTGGCGAGCGGATAATGCGTTACACAAATGGATGGATCGCCACCGAATCTCGATGGCGATCCATGTATTTAATGGTTCATCCGACCCAAGCGACCAGTAGCTAACGAAGACACACCATAATGGAAAGCGACGTCACTCCCTTTGCAATCAAAGTGCAGGCGCTCTGATGTTTTTGCTACGTTCAGCTTTTGACCTTCGTATCTCGATGACCTGGCAACGTGGCAGTAGGACGCAGCAATCGTGTTCTGTATACGCTCAGCCTTTAGCCGATGTAGTATCGTGCGCGCTAGTCACCTGTATTGTTGATAGCTGAGAGAGCTCTGTACTGGGGATGTATACTGTCAGTCTCTTGATTCATCTGCGTGTGATGCAACGTTGTCTGTCCGACTGAACTGCCCCATCCTTGTCTCCTCCGACACATAAAACAGTCCTTTCGATGGCAACTTTCTTCTGATAATCCGAACAATTGCGTGCGCGTCGAGTCATGGCGACTAAGGTGAGTAAATGACTACCACGATAAGTGAGCGACTTAAGAAGCTTTCGGTCTTTCTAGCGCACCACCACGCGGGGGATACCGTAAGTCACCTCCGTATCGATAGTGGGAACGCCATGGTACACTCGCGGTGTCAGCGCGGCAGTGCATGATCCGATTGTCTGAGAGAGCACAAAGCCGCCCAGTCTATTGAGCTTCCTGAGCACCCGTGCCAATATCGCCAATACTCACGCAACCGATAGATATCGAATGTTAGTCGCAGTCTGGCGTCCTTCTTGAAGACCCATGGAACTTATCGAGCGCTCTCGAAGCAGCACGTGGTGGAGGTATACAGGACGTGCCAGTTGACGGCGCGGGCTGGTTCATCGAATCGTGTCAAAATGGCACATGTAATCACGGTAATCAAGGACAAGATCCTTGTGAAGGATGTGGCGATCCGTTGACTGATTGTGGGGATGGATGGTGGTAGTCAATGAGCTAAAGTACGCCGACAAGAGCATCGGAAGTAGAGACGTTGAGCCTCGAGCTTACATGGAGAAGCTGTTCTACGACGTTGGATTTTTAGAGGTGACGCAGAATGAAAAAGAACAGATGCTGGTTTCCTTTGGCTACTTCGTCGAGAAGTTTTCCTAGGACCTGCTGAATCTGGTGCCGGTGTTGCTGAAGTGGACTGAAGGTGCACTGGAAAAGCAGTTCTCGAGCTCTTTGCCCGAAATAATGATGACCCATGGACTGCTGTTTACTTTGAACCGACTACTGTGTGATTCACAACGATATACATAAGATGAAAGCATGCGCAAAGAAATTTTCTCGTGAGCTGTGTCGTGAGGGGGATGCAAAAACGCTTCTGAAGTATGCTCTGACTTTTTGCGCAGGTATTTGCTCACGGTATTTACTACAGAAGCTGACGGCAATCTATTGCGCTACTGGAATTCTGCTGCTTACGCGAGAGCAAGACGGTATGATTGCTTTTTGCTATGAGGGTCACTGTAAATAACTGTGACATCCTTACCTAGGTCAAATAGCACGCATTGCGTGTTATAGAACAACTTTTGAGGCAACAAATGTGCTCCGTTTGGAAAGAAAAGACGACTCGCGCAAGAAATGCTTGAACCAAGTTTTAAAAGAAAATCTCCAAGTTCTGGGTGATTCTAGTGCTAGTTCATCCATGATGGCGTTTGTAGTGCAGTGCCTTGGATGGACAGCTCGGTAGGTATACGTTTATCTTGGAGAAAAAACTATGTTCAGTTTGGAGAAAGGCTGCAGGCTCTTCGTGAGTTCTTTTGGCACTAGATGCAAAAGCCACAGGAAGGAAGTGTGCTATTTATTTTACTGATTCGTGCATAGCACTAGGCAGTTTGTGAAAGAGGTAAGGATGTCATCTCATCGCTAGTAAGACTTCGGACGTGGGCTAATATTTACACGAACGATGCGTGTATATAGCTTCACGACGTTCAGCTGCAATGCTATATCAATTGGTGAGATACATGCTGTTTCGTTTGTTGAAAGCTTACCCTCAGTGCCTGTACGACCCAAAGGTGATGTTATAGACGCCAGTTGCCGCAGCATGATCAACTTTGTCGACTTGGACGTTGCTAGATCCTTTTGTCTATCGCATTGTGCTACACGTACTGATGCTGACCATATCGAATGTCACAGCATCATATTAAGAGATACGACAGTCATTGCTGTATCACGCAAAAGTTGTCACTTACTGTTGCATCGGTTCTAACAACGCTCCCGATGTAATAGCTTATTTGTCATCTTGATACAGGCGAGTCAGAAACAAGTCTTTTGTATGACTACGAAATTTTTGGCTGGCTTTGCTCAACAGACACTCAGAAGCCCTTATGTGAATCGCACTGAATTCAACGACCACCGCCAGCGATGAACTGAGATGAAAGAGCTAGCGGTGGTTATGGGATCGCTTCAAAGGATTGTCTTCGATTCCACTATAGAAGGTGTCTTCGGCATCATCTCTCAGCTTGATCTCACCTATCGATTCAATTTGCCGACAGCCCCGACAACGGTACAAATTTGTCCGAATACGTCGTGCGCGTTGTATGTACAGTGCGCACTCGAAGCGTTTGTTTGTGGCTCTCATGTCAAAATATATAGCTGGCTATACCTCGCGACCACTCGATCATTGTCAGCTTGACAGGATTTGTAGACAAGGTCGTCTGGAAAGATCTCGAGACCCTTGCTGCTTCCATGGGAACGTTGACCGCGTTAAATTGAAACTCTGGCAGGCTATGTACTCAGTGCTTGTTGTGGCGATGGAGTAGATTTTATCAACTATGTACTACGTTTTTACCGTTGCTACGAAGCTACCGCTGGTGTCATGCTTATACCAAACTGGAGCTGTATTCACAATGGCAATGTATGATCTAAAACACAGAATACCGTGTCAGGGTCTAGCAAACCTGACGCTTCTCGCTTCAGAAATGACTTGACGATTTTTGTCCATAGGGTGTGTGCAAAATACATTTTTGCCAAGAAGAGGTGTCGTTGGCGTGTGCCGAATTCGTTTTGAAAGCGTCACTGGGATTAGTAAGTATTAGCCATATCTCGACACCGTCATATCCATCATGGAACTTGGTAGTTCGTATCTAGTTGCCGCAATTATCGCCGGCACGGCATTGGACTCCGGCAATAAGGATGCCCAAGCAAGCTAGAAGACGTGGTGCACGAGTTTGTGCCGCTCTTTTTCGTGTGTCTCGATCAAGAAGACTTACGCCGTAGTGGTAGCGAATTGTTGGTTTTAGAGTCGGTCGGAAAGGATGTGGTTCACATTGATATTATCAAAGCATTGGGCTTTGCTCAAGTACAGCGCTGTGTCTTGCCACTTCTACAAAAATGGGGTGGAAAAGCGTCGCTCATATTGAGCCAGTGTCCACTCATCACTGATGACAGAAGAGAGACGGGATGTATATCTTCGCCTTCCTTTCATTTGAAACTTGTAGGCGGTGATGCGTCATTCCCGCTAGCGATGGATCATATTCTGTCGCATCTTGGGGAATGGGAAGCCCATTACTCCGTCTGAAACGTGAGTCCGAAAGCAGGCGAAGGCTTTCATACCCTCGTTTGCTACTTTTGCGAAAAGACGACAATGCTTCCTTTCTCATACAGCCGGGCAGAAAACTGTTTTTTATGATATGTGGCGCGCGAAGTAACTACACGCGTTGTGCGCTTGGCTACAGATCCAGAGGCACTTTATAGGTATCTATTAGAGCCTTCGCTATTCCAGCTACTCCACTGGCTAGCGACAATAACGGCGCGTTTCCGTTC